ATTCACTTACAAGTTAGCAAACGGTCAGTTCAGTCAAAAGTGGATGAGTTACTAAGACTGTGTCTGCATGGCCATGTGTCATGGAATCTTCGTTAGTAATAACCTGAGGGTAGTAAGAATTCAGCTGCTCTGGTCAAAATGGTGTAGCTGACTATGAAATGTATCACTGGTTTCCAGACGCTGGCCACATAAGAATCATCAAGGAATCTTTCTAAGTTGGATTTATCCCAGGACACTATGAGTCAAAGGTTTGGAGAGAGAAGAAAGAATTGTATTTTGAAGAGTTTCACATTTATACATCTTTGTTTGCTGGATGGATCAGTGGCATAAACCAGATCCTAACTCTATAACCCCACTGTAATCTTAAATGGAGTCAGCTATTCTGCAACTTCTTCACTGTGATTTCACTGTAATCAACGAAAGAATGAGCTTCACTGAGGAGAACAACATCTATTCAAACACATGTATCTTCAATAAGTCACAATAAAAACAAATGTTCAAAAACACCCCAGAACACAATAATGACATTCTAAAATGTTTCCCATTTCAAATGTTACATCTATGTAGCAAAGCAGTCGAGTGTGAGAGAGGCATCATTTTGGTCCTTGGTATCAACTCATCTGTGACCTTGATTAATTGGGCCACAGAGTCCAGACCGTTCAACCAGCCAACCAAGATGCCCTAAATCCCCAGCACCTGTGGTATTCCATCAACCACATCACACAGTCTACATTCTATTTGTAAGTTAAAACATCATTTATACACATTCAGGAAGAAGTAGAGGCTAAACAGAAATTTCACCTGGTACATTCAAACATTATGGGGAAAACAGGCTTTACAGATACAACGTTATACAGAAAATTGCCCAGTCTGTCATTTTGAAGAAACGAAGACCTATCAAAGTTATTATTTGTACATCTTCTTAGCAAATTGAACTAAATGCATTAATTCAAAATCTGCTGTTGAAATTACTTATAATTTGGAAAGCATTTCTTAACTCAAGGGACCCCTGCTGAAAATTAAACATGAGAAAAAGTACTTAACCATTTTCAGTCTTCAACTTCTAAATTATGCAGACATATTAAACACGGGTTTATTAAAATGAGTAGATTATTGGATAAGATTTCAGTTGTCAACTGTGAGTCATCAATAACTGAATCATGATTTATCAAATAGTGATTTACCCATGAGTAAATGGATAAGTCTTTCATTTCAGAGGACAGTGTGTTGATTATCAGCAGACTATTGTATACCTAGGCAAATTTCCCCTCTATTGCTTTGCATTGAGAAATGTATTTAGTTTTCATCTTTCTTACAGCCCTTTTGTTTTTTTGTACTCTGATATCCCAAACCAAAATCACCTTCTCTTTGAGCCCATCTTCATTTGATGCTGATAAAGCCAAGATTAAAAAGTCGTAATTTCTCCACTAATTACCTATGAAATCTTGAGCACTATCTCTGTAGCTCCATTTTCTCATTTGTAAAGTCAAGGATTGGGACTGGAGAAGCTTAAAGGGTTCTTATTTTCCAGGGTCCTAGCACTCTACAATATTGTCCCTACTGCCATGGGCCTTAGGTTACTAACACATCAGTATCTTGAGAGTACTTAGTTATCAGTGCCTTGCCTGAAGTCAGAAGAAATGTCTTTCTATTCCTTGACTTCCTCTCTAAATTGGTTTTGTCTGGGCACTCATTATTTGTGGGTAACTGCTACCTGGGCACAAGGAGTCTAGAGGGGGGCCCTTCCTTTGCACATCCTTGCTGGTAATTCTATGGTCAGGTGTCTGACATCAAGGTAGTGGACAGATGGCACAGTGTCCACAGTCAGCACTACTTGGGGACAATTATGCTATTAGACACACAACACTTTTATAATGGCCAAGGACACTTAAGACACAGACACAAAGGTGGAGGAACCATAGATTTTTTTTTTTTGTAAATCATCAAATATTTGGAGGAACTTCTTGGTTTGGGAGAAATTCTTGGTACCATCTTTTAACCCTATTGCCTCAAGACACTCAGAACAACTGATTAAATTGAGAGTCTAGCATTAAGCAGGCTGCCTCATGTATGTGCTTTTCCTTTTCTTCTCTACAACTCAAATGGTCATGGTGTTGGTGTCATGTGTGGATAGCTTTGGGGACTTTACAGTGAGATTTATTCCCAAAGCTGAACGTTGACTCTGTTGTAAGAATCCTAAAAAGGGGAAAGTTTCTCTCAAAGGAATGTACTTAGCCTAGAACCAATCAACTGTGGCCAATGTAGAAACCAGAGGTTTGTATCATATCCATATATGATAGGTGGGAGGCCCAATGGTGCCATCTGCCTAGTACACAGCACTTGACTCAACAAATTTGGGAGCCATGAGAGAGCCAGCAAGCTTTGGTCACCTGCTGCCTTTCTAATCAGGACATATGCGACCTGCCCAGTCTTTTGGTCATGACAGTGATTATGTATTTTTAATCTTTAAAAACAAAAACAGACCATGTATTATCAGCTAGCATTGCTTGTCTCTATGTTGGAACTAAAGGTCAAGGGCACAGCTGAGAATAAAAATAATAAAATAGTAAAGGCTGCTATATGTTGAGCTTATTATGTACTAAAAATTGGGATAAATGCTTCCCCCACACATTGCATCTTTGTTGTTTTTGCAATGGGAAGAATCTAGGCTGTAAATGAAGAATTTTTTAACTATGTGAATTACAGTTAACCAATAATGGTTGAGTTTAAAATTTTCCTCAGAGGTTTTTTTTTTTTTGGAAACAGGATCTATGTAGCTCAGGCTGGCCTCAAACTCATGATCCTTCTGCTTCAGCCTCCTGAGTGCTGGGATTATAGGTATGCACCATTATGCCTGCTTTTTCTTTTCTAGAGAATTTTTAAACAAAGTTCTTTTGGTTCAGATCCAAGGAATCCTGCCTGGAGGCAGAGATGAGCAGCCCTTTAAGCCTTTCTAGTTCTGGAGCAAGTCCATTTCCTCACCATTTTGAGTTCCTGTTAACTTTACAGCTGAAATGATGGTGGAAGGTGGGGAAGTCTTCCTACTCTCAATGGTTAAGTTGGAGCAAACATGCATAAAGATTTAAAAAATGTGTCTAAACATAAGAAAAAAAACCCTAAAAACCCTGGCATTGCGATAAGATCAAATTTAAATAGCCCATTTCTTTCAGGGATTCTGGTCTTTTGTTCTTGCCTGGTTCAAAGAGTTTATGCATTTGTATTTAGTAAAAACCAATGGGCACAATCGGATTAAAACCACAGAGTCAGACCTAGTTTGGATAACACTGACATTAATATTATTTAGCTGTAACCAAATGAAGTAAGTAATCCAACTACACACTTCTGTCAGTTATCAATCTCACACTGGTCCTAACACAGTACAGATTGAGAAGGGTAGTATTTTCTTTAAGGTGCTGGGAACAAATATGGTGTGGTTTTCATAGCCATAAAAGTATACCATTGAATTTAAAAATCTTCCCCTTAAGTTTTTTCACATATAAAGTTGCTTTAGTGTTTCCTATTTCAAAATGTCCATTGCTATTTCTTTCCACCTACTTGGAGGACTGCCATTCACACACTGTTGTAAGACATGCCACAGTTGGCGTAACATTTGAACTTGAATGGTTTTTCTTTCGCTGGTTAGTATCTCATTCTATGTAAGCTACTCTGATTAGCTTTCTGAAAAGAACAATACAGTTTTGGGACTAGGCAGAATATAAGCATAAAGATTGCAGCTTTCCTTATTGTATTCATTTTATACTTTTATACCTTCCCAAAGAGGGGGCAATGAGCTGATGGCCGAACCACACCAAACTAGGCTGCAATGCCCCTGCAGCAATTTTAAAACAATATTTGTAACACTGCAAGCAATCTTGATATTGTTTCTAGAAAAAGAATGAACGATTCCACTCAGACAAAACAAATGTGCTTGACTGGCATTTGGAAAGAAGAAAGAAACTCTTATTAAAATTTCACATCAACTTGGCCAGACTTTGGGCTGACTGGAAGAACAGTGATGCTCAGAAAAAGCCAGGGTGGGAATGATGCGATTTCCACTCCTAAGACTGAAAGAATGAAAAGGAGAATGTCCGACTAATTCCTTCATGGCAAGTCTACGTTTTTCAAATTCCAAGGTCTGTTTAGTACCAAGTCTTACCCCCGCACAATGGCTTTTCCTTTAGAAATGCTTAACATAGGCATAGAGACCTGATTTCAGTAGAAACAGGGAATATTCTGTATCTAACATTGTCACAGAAAGAACAAGTCCAGGTTGCTGTTGGTGGGCCCTGTACTGAAAACAACCTCACCTTAGCATTATTTGCATGGGGCTTGCCTGGCCAACTCCAGAGATTCTCTTCCACTCCAAACCTTTTGCTTCTCAAAAGCTGAATGAGCAACATGTTCAGAAGACTTTACAGAGTGTAACAACTTCTTCTTCTCAAGCTCTTAAGCAGATTCGCTGCCTCTATATTCTGAGAGAATACCCAGCCCAGTGCTTGAGATGGGATTGTAGGAGGAACCAAACTAGGCTGCAATGCCCTTGCAGATGTGGCCACAATGCTGTTGTCTGCCCTAACTACACTAACACCAAGAGATGTGATGACACCCACACCATAGGCTTTCTTTGTGATAGTGAAAGATCCAATGCATCATATGCCACTCATCCCAGATGGACCACCTTACTGTGAAATGACCGTATGGACAAGGGAGGACTTCCTAAGATTCATTTCTTATAAAAGTAATCACAAGGGGATTCATCATGATTTTTCTCGGTTTGTCATGAAACATCAAAGTTACCCAGAGCCTTGAACACATCAAATACAGATGCAACACACACAAGCAAAGCTAATTCAGTACCTAGCAAATTATTAAACTCCATGGTGGTGGGGCAAGGGCAGTGGGGAGGGAGGAAGGAAAGGGAAGGAAGATGAGAGGGGAGAGAAGAGGAGAAGGAGAAAAGAGAGAAAAGATATGCAAACCAATTTTTCATTTCCATTTCAAAGAGTTTGATCCCACTGACAAAACAGATCTTGCCCCAATTGTCCAGAGGCCTCTGATTATGAGGACTGCATCTGAGTTGAGCTGTAGACTACAGCTCTAACTCCTCATCCGCCTGGGAGGCAGTTAATTATTAAAATACAAACACAAAAATACTTTGAATCATTTTGTTAGCAGCATACTTCCAAATGCAACATTCCTTTATCAATCAAGTTTAAACTATGTGGCTCCAATGCATCTGTTCTGCTAAGTCTACTAAGACCATTTCAAAGAGCAGTGCAAAAGAGGGAGGAGAAGACATCTTTCCTTTTAAGTGGTAGTCAAGTCTTGTAAGACAGTCTCTGGGGTTCTATTCTGAAGACTATTCAATTTGATTTGGGGCACTTTTTAAACAGCCATTTGGCACTTTCCATTTGAAGTTCTTAGGCACAGTGTGACAGAGTCAGTTTAGTGAGCCCTTCCCCATGCATTCGGTACAACAGCTGAAACTCAGCAGGCAGCTGGTGGGACTCCTGCCACTTGGTGGTAAATTTGGTTCCTTTTTTGTCATAGTAATGGTATGGAAGATCTTCCCTTGTGTTGGGGTCAAATCCAAAAGGCCAAAATCCATACAAGTGGATCTCTTCACATATTGCTGATGCAAGGGTGTACATAAGAATACCTGTGCTCAGCCGTTTGGGCGACAAATGTTTGTTTTTCCAGTACCTGCAGAATAATAAGTACATGTGGATTCAGAGTCCAGTGTTGAAGGTTTCAATCAGATAGGTCAATAGGACAGAGCTGGGAGTGGATTTGTCTAGACTGTTATATGGACAAATTCACTCTCAGCCCATTCCTACTGACCTTTCCCTTTCTAGATGAAATTTAAAAGTTCACTGAAATTGAACAAGAGGGGAGCAAAGTGATGAGGTCAAAGGACACTGGACAGGTTGGCAAAAGTCCTGGCTTCTAATTCTGGTTCTGCCCATTAGGGACAGTGACTTTTAATAAACAACTCCTGCTCCTCATACTTTGGTTGATTCACATTTAAACTTAGGAGTTGTGGCCCATTACCTTTTAGAAAGGTGACCACGCATCCTGGGAAATGAGGACAGCCCCAGTTTCTATCTGTATCCCTGTTGTTAACTACATAGCACCTCTTCTTCCCAAAGAAAAAGGTCCAATTTGGGCTATAAATTAAGGAATCATTCTTCCAGTTTATTAGACTATGGCCTTCTTCAATGGGAAATCAACCAAATGATCTTGAATCCGGAAGACTTTAGTTGACAACGGGATGGGAATAAGCCATTACAGGCTGAAAATCTTTAGAATTCCTTGGTTACTAGGCTTTCTAGAATCCACGCTAACTTATAATATCTGGGGCTCGGTTAGGACCCTGGGGTTCCATACATAGGAGAAATTAGTGTTGAGGCAATTTGCTCGATTTAAAGGGGAAAAAAAACCCTACAATTGATCTTGCTTTATAAAATGACCTGGGTTAGTGGCTCTCTAATCTGACTGCATATTAGAATCATCTGGGGAGTTACTAAAATTCACAAAGTGCCTGGTCCCTACTTTCCTCTCCACCAGAAAAATTACATTTGGCTCTTGTAAGTGAAGCCCAGGCAATAGTATTTTTAAAAGCTTTCTAAGCAATTCTTATGTATAGCCAGAGCTGAAAACCACCACACTAGATGAAAACATTGCATCTCTGGTCAGTCTCTCTAGCAAGTCATAAGAGATAACAAGCTCATAAAATACTTTTCATAGGTTCTTGAAGTTAAATATCAAATTATAAAGGCAGATCATACAATTTATGATTTCACTCAGTGACTTGCTAGTCTTGGACATCAAACAAAAGAGATGGTTTTAAGTGAATTGCATCGTCTTTAAAAATATTTTGCTTTGTATAATTCAGCTACGGAGAGACAGTTATTTATTTCAAGAAAATTCTTGATGTGTGCTGATTCTGTGACTGCTCACTAAGAAGGGGACAGGGAATAGAGAGGGGAGATGGATGAAACACCAATCTATTTAGCACTTGGTTACTAGCTGGGGGTAGACCGAACTTTTAACTGGAATGATTCATTCATTCATTACAAACGATACGCGTTTGCCCAAAAGTATTAAATGAAACACCACGACAAACTAATTTGATGGCGTCCCCTCCCCCACAAAAGATTGCAGTACTGATTTGCCATCTGGTGGGGTATTAGTTAAATACAATAAAATATACACACCTGTTGACGTGTTGCATTATATTTCCAGGCCAAGCCAACTGGACCTTTAACTGACCTCTGTGTTCAACAAAAAAGTCAACTAATGTTCTCGTAACTGTTGCAGAAGTGTGAAAGAAAAATGCTGGGATCCAAAGAATGGCCCCATCAAGCTTTTTTAAACTGAGGAAAAAGTTGTTACGGTCCTGAATGGTCAAAAGATTGTTGTAATATTTTTCCAGGATACTGGGGTTGAAGGTAGTAAGGTTGGTTTTCCTTCCAACATCTCTTTGGAAAGCCTCCGTGGGGGCAAAATTGCAACGAAAAACAAAATCTGATTTATCTATTTCTTGTCCACACTGGCTCCCTGTCAGTATCCCACTATTTCCAACCACAGCACAAATATTATAGTGCTTATTCACAATGGGTGACACATCTGGAAGCAGTGAGCGGAAGTTATTGCTAATAGAGAAAACATATTTATGGCTGGAATAATCATAGTGCATCAGTTGTCCGATCCGAACACTATTCTTGGTCAAAGAAAAATTTTTTATTACATCGACATGCTGAAGGATTTCTTGCCTAAAATAAAAAGAAATTCATTAAGTGCATTTCATTCAAAAGAACTGAGTTTCCATCTTATGTTGCCATTTCACTCGTATAAGAATCTGAAGCACACTGAATCCAAGGAAGATTATACGCTCATAATTGTGGTCTTTGAAGGGACGACAACTTAAGAACATACACATGTGTTCTAGTCTTTCAGTCATGCTCTGAATGTAATCCTTTGAGGCTTACAAATACTATTTATAGTTTTAGCTGCCATTTCTTGGTTTTCTGCTCTACTTGAGAAGTGTATTTGGTTAGGGAAGAGGCAGATGCCAAACTATGTCAGAAAATTCAGGGAGACAATTTACCCAGGCCCCAAAGAGCACATTAATAAACAAACACTGATGACTTAGCATTTGTAACTAGGGACTACTTGTTTGCTCTTGGACTGCAGAGTTCAAGGAATATCAAATATCACTGGTATCTGAATGAGAGCCAAATAGACATGAGTCAGGACAGCATTACCTATTATTAAATCATGAAAGTGGGAATTGTAGTGGGTATAGTTGAATATTTAATAGAAAAGAGATGATAATCTCATTTAGGCCCTTTGGATAATGAAATGGATATTTTTCTTCTTGATTCTATAGAAACACAAATTTAGTGGAATATGTCTAATTTTTTTTAAAAAAGGCAATTGTAAACATGACAATATGTGTATATTGTAATAATGCAGAGCACAAGCAAGGCAAGAGTAATGAGTAATATTTAGAACTAGTTTCAGGTTGATTTCATTTTGAGTTTTAAGTAAAATTAGGTGTCTCTTCTTAAAAGTCTCAGTTACTTAAAATATTTAAGAGAGACCAGTAGCATGTTACTTTGCTGCTAGAGTCTCCAGTGCAAAGAAGCCATGTAGAAACACCTGTGCCTTTTGTGTAAACAATAGCAGGAATGAAATGAAATGTTTTGTACATCATAACTTTGCTTGAATTTAATTTGGAACATGATATCATTCTGCAAAGTATAGAGCAACATAACCTGACAGCTTCAATCCAAAATTTCCTAAATTACCAGTAGTATTCTTATAAGCTGTTATAAAGGCAAGTTTAAAATAATACTGGTAAAAATTAATTAAAGATTACCTAATAAATGGATTGAAAGGAGGGAAGTTTTGAGAAGTAAGTATTCTTCTGATTGGTCATTACAGTCACATGGCCTAGTATGGGGAGAATATTTTTATTGAGCTAGAAATGTGTTTGGGGAAAAGGTATGTGTTTTACCTTAAAATTTTCTGGGTTGTCTACAAAATTAATATTAGATTAAAACCCCAAAAGTTTAATGAAAAAACACTCCTAGGGCTTAGAATTAATTAATTTTCATGAACTAGCTTCTAATTGAACATAAATACATAAAACACTGTAATCATATGATACGAATATACCAATTTTTCAAATACACGGTGTTTTCCCAATACCGTGGATATTCACTGGATTTAATTCTGCCAGTAGATTACAATTTTTAAAAAGAGCAATGCCTAGAAATACTATGACCAAAACACAGCTCCCTAAGTACGGTGGCTTCTAAAATAAGTATTCACACCCCTAATGAATACACTAGATGGTTCACACTGCATTTACCAGTACAATAATCCCTCTGAGGAGGGAGTAATGACTAATCTGTGATTCTAAGAGTAGACCAGAATCACTGAGAATAAATAAATTTGAATAAATCTCCTTCTTCCTCCTACAAATAACAAAACTTCTTCATGCATAAAACAAGGCTGCTACAATTAGTAAGAATGATGTTAAATAGTTTTACAGTAAGTTAAAAGCTGCAAAGACTAAATGAAAACAAACAGGCAAACCCAAAACAAAACCATGGTTTACCTACATACATTTGGGTGCACATCTTTACTGGTAACTTGATGGAGATGGATTATGATATTTTCTGTGTTCACTAAGGCAGTATAATTTTATTACAATTTTTTTCAGTGAGGGGATAAAAGTGAACTGAACGGTCTTTTTTTGTAATTAGCCTTTTTTTAAATTTTTATTTTTAAAAACATAGATAGCTTTGGTAGTCTTAGCCAGACTTGTTAACTTTATCTCATGGTGCTCAATCAAGCCTAAGTAATCTTCCATTCAAACCGGTCATCCTGGTGTTTCCTTCTTAGAGAGGGCACGGCATATATTTGGCATATATTTGAGAGAGTCACCAATCATCACCTTTTGCAGTTAGGTCAGGGAGGACAATATAAATGTACCTGGGGGTCGGGGGTGAGGGATGAGGGTGGGGGAGATAGATTTTTGTTGTTTTGGATTTGTTTGCTTTATGTCTTCTTTGTCTTTTTGAGCTCCAGAATTCAAAAACACCTTTTGGAACTTTTCCTCCTATCCTACCTTTGATGTAAAAACGCTGTCCGATTAAATGTCCACTTAGAAGGTTTCTCTTGGAGTTCCTGGGTGAGAGAATTCGTAATGGGCACAAATGACGGATCTAGAAACTTCAGCGCAAACTGTGACCTGGAGAGGGACGTGAGTAGACAAATGTGCCAGCCTTAGCAAGGGGAGCCGAGGTAGCCATTAACATCCAGCCAGCTGGGGTCGCGGGGTGGGGGGGTAGTGGCGGGGAGCGGCTGGCACACGCGCGGGTTCCATCCCGCCCCAGAGCCCCTCTAGTGTGGCCCACTCTCTGCTCCTACACACCCCTGGGAGAAATCTAGCAAACTAGGGACACTCGTCTCCATTGTCCATCCCTCCGGGTGCGGGAGAGACCATAAAATGGCCGTCACGCAGAAAGCAGGGGCGGGAGCACTACGCAGGGCTGGAGCCGGCAGCGCAGCGAGGACCAGGGAGTCAGCACCGCGGACAGCGCCGCGCCGCCGCGCGCCAGACCCGCGCCGCCCTCGCCGCCCCCGCCGCCCCCGCCGCCCCGAGGAATTGATTTTTGGAGAAAGGGCAGAGGAAACCGGAGACTCAGGGGAAGGCTGGGGGTGAGGGGCGGCTGCTGCCTTAACCTCTTCCCTCCCGAGCCGGTGTCTGATCTCCCTCTCCAGCCCGTGCCTGGAGACCCCCGGAGGCCGCCCGCAGCTCCGCTCCTCCGCCCAGGCCGGACTCCCCCCAGGATTCCGCACCTCTGGCCCGGCTCGGACCATAGGTTGCAGTTTGCATTTGCCACCTGCGCGTCAGGAGGCCGTGCCAGGGGTGCTCCTAGGGGCACAGGTAGGGGTGGGGCTCTCGATGAGCTGTGCCAAGCTGTGCCTCCCGGCGGTGACTTCGACCTGGGTGAGGGTGGGCGACCTTTAGGAGACTCACTTCTCGCTGGGGCGGGGGAACTGCAGAAATCCCGGACAGGGGGAGGGGTTGCAGCGGGGTGGGCAGAGGTCGAGGGAGAACGCCCTAGGGCCTTCCAGAGAATAGACCCGCGCATCCTTTGATGGGAAGAGGGGAGGAGGGTGCGAGGAGAGTCCGCGCCTGCGCCATTAAATCGCCCGGAGCCGGGCCCGCCGAGTCTGCGGACAGCGCGTGGGGAGGGCGCTCATCTCACGCCTGTCCATCTCTCGGTTGACTAACTGACTAACACCCCTCGCCTCCCTCCACCGTCATTCTCCTTAAGCCCTTCCCCCGTTTTTTAAATGGGGGAGGGGATGCTGAGGAAGAATACGAGAAATGCAATCGTATCGATTAGGACAACGGTTTTAAGGGGCTTTGGGTTAAAAAATAAAGGGGAGGAGGGAAGGAAAATCGGAGAGAGGAGTGGAAAAAGCACGTAGTTATCTTGCTCAAAGTGTCTCGGAGAAGCCCAAACACCCCTCTCTCACGGTCCCCCGACACACCATAAACCAGACAGATGCCCCAGGGCGCTCAAATAGAGGCCCACACTTACCGGAATCCCGCGTGGAACATGTACATTCGGGGCGCCCCCGGGCTGGCGTACTTGGGAGTGGTGAAGATGTTTTCCTTTTTCAGGGACACGTAGCTGATGAGCGATAAAATCAGCAAGGCGACGCTAAGCATGACCAGCCCCAGGACACTGGCGACCCGGGCCATTTTGCAATTTCTCATCCCGGTCTGGGTTGGGCTCAGGGAAACCGGGAAAATCGGTCCATTGAGCGGCCAGCAGCTCGCTGGCGTGTCAGCGTGTGTGTGCGCGCGTGTGTGTGCTCGCGGGCGCGTGTGAGCCTGTGTGGCGGGGGAGGGGGACCCGGGCAGGGGCAGCGGGGCGGCAGCAGGCCGGGGGTGGTGGGTGAGGTGCAGGAGCCGGGAAGAGCAGCGGGACCCCTAGGGCAGGGGCGAGCCTGGCGAGCTCAGAGCAGGAAGATGGTGGGTCTACGCGGCGGCGTGGCGATGGAGCGCGCCGCGCCGTGCGTCTCCGGCCGCCGGCTCAGGCTCCCCCACGCGTTTGCAGCTAGGCTGCCATCTCCGCCGCCGCCTGCAAGATAAATGTGATTGGAATAATGTTACAGTTCGATCTAAGCACAGGATTTAATTAATGAACTCTAATCTCCCAAATAACCAGGGGGAGGGGAGCGAGGGAAGGGAGGGACGAAAGGGAGGTGGCGGAGGGAGGGGAATGCAGACTGGAAGGCTGCAGCCCACGACAACGGCCTCCCCGGCTGAGGGTACCAGCAAGGAGGTGGCTGTAAGGAGGCAGATACCCAAACTTACTTTAATGGACCATTCACTACTTTATAAAATACATTACGGAATAGGGAGATAAATAACCGAATTTGCTGCGGTGTAGGATAAACACCAGCTGGGTGCTTCTCAGAGATGCAGGGAGAGTGGTTTTTAGAAGCAAATGTTTAAAAGCTTTTCTCTTACCAGGCGCCGCCCTGAGTCCCATCGGGCAGCACCTGCTGCAGCAACACAGCATAGAAGGCCCAAACAGCAGCCGGGTGGCCTGCTTTAGGAGAGCTTAAAAAATCCTTAGAATATTCTAGAATGCCTCCCTGTACTTATGTGCTCACCACACACTTGCTTATCCCTAAAAAGTGGGTAATGTCTATTACAGTTGCAAGGGAGCCATGAGCTCCCTTCTTCCCATGCCTGGTCCCATGCACCCAGCAAGAAAACAAGGTGCTTGGTCCTCAGTTACCCGGGTCTGGAGCAGTTAACCCAGACTGAAGATTCTCTTTGTCCACTTTTGGGACCCATCCTTAGGGCCCAGAAACCAAGGACATTATCAATGCACAGAACCTTGAATCCAAGAATCTTAGGCTTGCTCACTGCCAACATTTTGTATTTCTTGACCTTAAATTTGGTTTACCATATTCACATACTTTCTGTTTTAGTATCCATTGGAAATGCAAATTAATACATTTGGAGTCACGCTGTTGGGGCCTCAGGGGGAGCTCGCAGTGTTTCTGCAGCTCTGTCCTTTGCAATTAGCTTATAACCGCTTTCACCCTAGCTCTACCCTTGACTTCGCTTCCCAGTACTGGTCAGCGGCACTAAAGGAAATTGACCTTGGGAGAGCCTTTTCCAATAAACAAAGTTGAGATTTTTTCCCAAGATGGTTATGACTTCTTTCTCTCCTAAACTTCTTGCCCTGTGGACTTGGGTCAATCTAATGTTACAGTCTGTCTGGGGGCTGTAAATTCTTCAAAGGAGTGAGTTCCTGGGCTGTAAGCTTCTGCAGAGCCAGGACTGTGTCTTCTCCAGTACTATCACGTCTGGAGGGCATGCTCACTAGATGTTTGAAGACCAGATGAGCTCGCTTGTGAAACATCTGCCTGGCTGTGGACAGTGACACACAGGATGCCTCCATCTGTTTCCAAAGACAAAAGGGGATCCCATAGCACTCATTAAAGACATTTATATCAAAATGTAAAAATGTGAATCAAGAGGACAAAAATCTTTTGTTTTCAACTTGGGTTTTTTTTAATTATATAAAAACTTTCAGAAAAATCTTGCATGCCTGATTATGATGAATACTTGAATCATATTTTTGAATAATTATTATGGGTTTTTTAGAAGAGTTTATATAAATAAGGTATAAAATGCCAAAAGGAGTAAGATCTTATGAGAACTGTCTAGGAATTCTGCAGGTTGGAAAAACTTCTTGAATAAGAGGTCAGGGATCATGCCATTGAGAGACAAGATAGTGGCCACTCCTTCAGGCTCCGAAGCCTGTCAGCCCTGACCTCAGAGCTCCCACTGGCATCTGTGTGCTAGGTGACCTGGGTGAGTTACCAACTTCGTCTTTGTGTTTCAGGTTCCTCGTGTAGAATCAAGATAAAACCTCCTAGAGTTTAGAGTGAGGACAAACATCCTCGCCTGTATTAAGTGGTTAATAAATATTAGCTAAATAAATAAGATGAGTTTTTAGCTTCATTCTCTGACCCCATAAATGTCTACTACACAATGCATAGATACTTTCCTACCAAGAATGACAAGGATCAAGAAGCTCTCCAGTTCCCTCTATAAAACAACATTTTGGGCTTTGCTAGGACCTATGACAGGGATTCACTTTGCTTGGTTTTAAAAATTGATGTATTACCTAGAACACCTCTGTGAACATTCTAAGGAAAGTTCTACTGGAGAGATTCCCATCTTGCGTGTGTTCACTGAAGGTCACATGATGTAAAGGGATCAAATTAGCCAGAAAATAAACTCGAAGGCAGGGATTCTTATTACACGTGCCACGACTATTAGTGAAAATGGATTGTTCAATAATTTCTGTGGGGATAAACCTGGTGGCGGTGCATCAAAGAGCAAACACAGTTACTGGATAAGGGATTTTTCAAGCCTGGGATTATAGTTATTTAATCAATTTTTTAAAATTATATTAGGACCTTTTTATAAAATATCACTTAGCAAGTTTTATTGGAAATCAGCCCTGTACAGAAGTATACAAGGGTGAAAACAAGAAATACAGAAATGAAACATCCCTTGGATTTAATGTTTTCTAGGGGAGTTGTTATTTTGGACACAGCACTTACTTCCCTTCACCCATCCCATGAGTGTCCACCTTTTGCAAACCTGACTCTGTCACCTTTTGTCCCTTCACCAACCCATACTTACCAAGAGTAAGGGTCCAGGCCCCACCTGGGTGGGAAGGCTGAGAAGGATGGTGTCTTTTTATTACAAACAGCATTACTCTTTCATTTCTGCTTTCTTTCATCAGTTCACTAAATAAAAGGTGTTTGTCATCAGAGGCCATGTTGAGCAGACTTGGGCTACGAAATCATCTTCAACCTCATGATGCTTATCGTCTTGTGAGGGAGGAAGATGGTAACCTATGGAAGTACTCTGTACTCTGAAAACTCAACAACAGAGGACTTGTGAGAGAACTGAGCATCAACCCCTGTCTGCACAAGGTCAGCAGAATTCATCATGGGGCAACACCATTGGGCTGAGTTTTAATGTGTAAGCAGGTGAAAGAGTTGAAAAAGGGACAGCCCAGGTAGAAGAAAAGTAGGGGTTGGGGAAGATTATGGTGGGTTTGGGAAAAGCAAGAGGCACAAGGTGACTTCCCCAAAAGAAAAGCCTACGTGGTGGGAGTGGTAGCTTTTGCCTATAATCCCAGCTACATGGGAGGCATAGATATGATTGAGGCTTGCCAAGGGAAAATGTAAGAGATCCTATCTGAAAAATAATTAAAGCAAAAAAGGACTGGGGCTCAATTGGTAGAGTGCCTGTCTAGCAGGTGCAAGACGCTGAGTTCAAACATCAGTACTGCCAAAAAGAAAAAAAAGAAAGAAAAGAAAGCTTAGATTGGGAGCTGGGTTCTGGTTTTGAACAGTCTGTAGGTCATACTAAGGAGCTGGCAGGTATCCTTTAGCACCACTGCTCAGAACTGCTCAAAGTTTGTCAAGAGCAATGACTACAGTTTGCACCGATGGGTGGAGAAGCAGCGGGAGTCAGCTCATGGGAGTTGGAAATACCAGCTGCTATGCAGGTGTCAGCTGATGGAGTCATTGGCCCTCTAGCCTGTCCACATGCTAGAAGTCTTAACGTGCCTTAATTTACCAATGAATCAACTGACCATTTTCTGTTAGGAGCCACTCCTGAATAAGGCATCAGGGAGTTGACTCCCATGAGGGCTAGTGACCCTGCCCAGAGAGTACAGAGGTTCTAGTGAAGGGAGTTAAGGGAGAGGCCACTGGGAGACTGTTCTTTGGCCACATATGACTGAAATTCTTACTGCATGTTACTTCCTGATGTCTTGGTTTCTAATGAGTCTAACAGTGGTCTCAGAGGAAGGATCTTGGGGTCCTCTGGGTTTCCAACTCTTATTTCCCCACAGAAGAAAAACACTGTAGGAGTTCATTGGTAAGAAGAATCATTGTGGTCAGAGAAAGGGTCTCAAAAGCTCTGAGATGAGCAGAGATCAGAGAGCTGTATGAAGTTTCCAGATATAAAGATGGTAACAGAGTACAGGGTGGGTGAGGGCAGCTGGGCTGAACAAACTTGTGTGGCCAGAAGAGTGAAGGTTTGGTGGGGACCAGAGAGTAAATAAGCAGCTTCCCAAGAGTGAAGAAAACATTCATGATGCTAGAGCACTTACGTGCCAGGTGCTTTTTTGTGCATCATGGGTAATCTTCATCCTTATCCTATGAGGAAAACACAACTATTCTCACTTTATAGTTAAGTGATGTTGAAAGAGGCTAAAGATTTGCTCAAGGTAAATCCCCTCTGACTGTGATGCTACCCTTTCCCCTAATTCACACTGCTGTGGAGCAAGTCTTGGGACAGAGAGCTGGAAATGTGAACAGGCCAGGAAGGCTGGAAATGTCATCCTTTGGCAGTGCAGACCAGTTATTGTTGTCACTATTAGAGATGATAAATGATGGTGATGATGATGGGCGTGATGTCATCTAGCATGTATCGCTCACTTGCTTTATGTTGGTTATTATATTAGGCATTTTACATTAGTGATCTCATTCACTCTCCATTTCTTTGAGGATATGCAGAAGGTCTCTGACTTTGGTTGGTTCAACCTATGATTTTTCAACTTTACAATGGTGTGAAAGCAATATGTATTCAATAGAGACCATAGTTTGAATATTGATCTTGTTGCTATGCACAGCACTGTCCTCTCTTGTGAGGGGCAGTAAACCACAGTTCCCAGTTCCCATGCAATAAGAGGGTGAACAACTGAGACTTGGTAATGTACTGTATTGTCAGCATTTTTAAATATAAATATTCAATAAATCACATGAGATATTCACCACTTTCTTCTAAAATGTTTTGTGTAATTGATCTTGCTGAAGTATTGGCTAACAGTAGTGTTCTGAGCATATTTAAGGTAGGCTAGACTAAGCAACATGTTCAGTAGGGTAGATGGATTAAATGCTTCAAATGTATTTTCAGTCTGTGTTATTTTCAGTTTACAATAGGTTTACTGGGTTGGGGCCCTTTTGTAAGCATCTGTAATGACTGCCATCATTTCAAGAATAAAGAAACTGAGGCTCGGCAAGGTTAAGTAACTTGCTGGGGTCACACAGCTACTGTGTTCCAGAAGAGGATTTGGTTCCAGTGTGTTTCTTCCAGAGCCAAGAAAAAGAGGTCTTTAACTTTCATATTTTAACCTAGTTAAAACATATTTTAACTTAGCCTTCTTATAACATTAGCCTAGTTATTGTGTCTCTGGGCTTCTGAGGAAGTGAATGCGCACTAGCAAGGGTGGAAGGGTGGGGGTAACTAGGAAAAGATGGGTGTGGCACCTTTGTGGCCCACTCTGGGACTGGGAGAAGGCTGAGTAGGGCTGGGGTAAAGGGTGGGAGGGCTAGCCATCCTGTGGAAACAGCTGGAGACAGCATCTTCTTTTCGTGAGTCTTTCAGAGCTAGTGTAACAGCTAGAACAGAGGGCACTCAGTGTGGGAAGCAGGCTGGGAACAGCTCTGCTTTGCAGCACATCTGAGGTCCAGGCAGGGGAGAAGGCCAGTTTCCAGGACTGACTGCACAGGCAAGTCATCTGTTCCACTGGGATATCTCAGCTGCCTTGCCTGCTGAAGAGGCCATGGTTAATTAAATTAAGTAATTAGATTAAATTAGGTTAATATTAACACATGCAC